TCTTCAGATACAAGTCTTGTATCTGAAGAAGTGAGGTTCTTACCCACGAAAGCTTATGCTCCCAGTACTTCTGTTAGTCTCAAAGGTGCCACAGGACCCTCTGTTGCTTTTTGAAGGTACCTGGTATCTGTATGCTACAGTTAAAACTTTCAAAGCTATTTAGGAAACTGTCATCCATGAGAACTAGGCTTCAGGGGAGAATGTAAATTCCCAAGATAGCTTTGAAAGTCTGAACCTTCCTTTCCACTTAACTGTAGCATGACTACACTCTCTGGATCATGAGGTGACTCTTTTTGCCTTCAGCTGATGGAGTGGGTTTTTAGCCTCCTGTGGCACAATTAGTGCCTCTACCACCTACAGAGGCTGAGCAGCCTCTTTACCTTTTTCCCCCTTTATTTTGGGGGCCTCAGATAACCCAACTCTTATTACTCCTTTAATCTTTGAGATTAACACTCATGCTGATAGTCTTTCAGCTGAGATCTGGATGTGGTTCTCTCTAGTCAACAATGTACTAATTAGAGTTGACCAATGCTACTGCACAGTAGCATCAATATGATCAACATGTAGTTATTAGCCTAGGAAAATACTGAACCCCATAGTACAGGGGTAGGCAACCTATGGCACGCATGCCAAAGGCAGCACGCAAGCTGATTTTCAGTGGCACTCACGCTGCCCAGATCCTGGCCACCAGGTCCAGGGGGCTCTGCATTTTAATTTTAAATGAAGCGTCTTAAACATTTTAAAAACCTTATTTACTTTACATACAACAATAGTTTAGTTATATATTATAGACTTATAGAAAGAGACCTTCTAAAAACATCAAAATGTATTACTGGCACGCAAAACCTTAAATTGGAGTGAATAAACGAAGACTCGGCACACCACTTCTGAAAGGTTGCCGACCCCTGCCATAGTAGCTCACATTTGCCCTGTCCAGTTTCCATATTAGCTGTTCATTCACAATTCTTCTTAAGACCGAAAAAGGGTTTCCTGGCCTTAACTCTGCTCTTTTTCTACCTCCTAATAGTTCTCCATTCTCCAGCCTCTGGAGCACAGGGATCTGCTGTTGGTGTGCAAACCACCCCTCAGAATGTGCCATCTCGGACTGGACTGCCTCATGTACACTCACAGCTTGACCATCGCACCAGCCAGAGGAGTGGTTCTCCTATTGGCCTTGCAAAATGGTTTGGTTCAGATGTTTTGCAGCAGCCCCTCCCTTCCATGCCATCCAAAGTCATCAGTGTAGATGAACTGGAATATCGGCAGTGAGCAGTGACCTCTTCGAGGATGGGTAGCTGTTTCTTTAGACTGGAAAAAGAGTCCTGATAGTATACATTGTGCTTCACCGGTTTGTTTTGGGGCTTTTATTTTTAGCACTCTGTGCAGAACTTCTTTTCAAGAGACTAAAGCACATGGCACCTGTCCTGGTCTCCATGTCTGGGTCAAGACTGAAGGATCCATATGGCTTGAACCATGAAGCCTGAAGACATTTAGATGCAATACAAAGCCAGTTTAATCCTGGAAATGTCTATTTTTTGTTTTTGTAAAATATGTGAATGAAGTGCTGATATCCTCTGGTGTAGAGGGAGCAGCTAAGGGTTCCTCCTGCAGAAAATTAAATGTATAGACCCTTGTGTACAAACTTGTGTATAAACCATCTTTTGTATATATACCTAGGATAGCTTTTTTGAACCTATACAGCTGTACATAAGAGTAGCTGATAAGTTGAGCTTTAGTTGTGCCTATGGTTTGGATCGCTCCATTGTACATGTGGAACTTATTTGTTTAAGATTAAAGTTGCAAATGCCAAGTGTGTGAGTGAACAAGATAAAGCTGATTTCTCTCTTCTCGCTGTTTCTCACATCTCCCTCTCCAAGCACATTTCTCCTTGTCTTATGTAATGTGCAGATTCAGTGTAGTTAAAGTAAAAGCCCACAACTTGCTCCTTGTCCAACAAATGTCTGATTCCTTGTGTTTTTTCCATCAAAGGCAGGAATAGTTTAGTTTCTTGAAACTGCTTCAAAGATGAGACCTGGTGCAGTAATCCAAAAGGGTCAGTCCTTTAGTCTGCAGTCCAAGACTTTGCACACAGTTCCATATTTAGTCAAGGTAAATGCATCCTGTATTAGTTGTCATAGTGCTCACAGCAGGGTTGGCTCTGGTCCTCTTGTTTAGCTGCATTTATTTTAATATGGATCTTCCAAAGTTAAAGGTCAACAACTTGAGCCTTTAACATTCTTACTCTTCCTCAACCCCCAATTCTTCACATTAACCATAGCATAGAACAAGTTACTGTAGCTGTCTCCAGCTCTACTTGTAGAGGGGAGTCCCAGTTCCCTGTCCCAATCTAGCATGCATCTATTGATGCAGTTACTGTGAAATCTGGCTTTGCTTTTTTTTTCCTTGTGTTTTGAGGGGTGAAGCTGTTCTGTGAGCCTATTGTATACTTGTTTTAAAAAGGGTTGTGTGTTTTGTTTTGTTTTTTAAACCTGTGCTTCATTTTTTTTCTGAACAGCTAGTATGTGTATTCCTTCCTTCTACTGCATGGTTCCTGCATTCACTTTCTCACTGGGAGTCTAGTACTATTGTCTTACCTGCTTATCAGACATTGTACCCTTTATTTTAAAGATGAAAGCAAACTCAAAATTATCACCAGGATTTGCTCTTCTCTGACTGTAAAACCAGCAGCAGAAAATCACCAACTGTACTATAACAGCCAGCAAGCTGTAGGAAGTTTCAGATAAGTAGAGACTTTTGTGCAGAAAGAACAGGTGGACATCCTTAATGTGGAATCCATGGGGATCACCAATATTTAGTATAAAGTCTCTCACTGGTTGTTACTCATACTCACTCAAGGTCAGTGATATAAAACATACAATCACAGCCCATCTTTGTAAAACTTCTCAAATTTTTAACTTGACACTTCCCAATAGCATTCTGTAAATAAAGTCAATTCTACCAGCTTTGTCTCAACTGCTCTTAAACACAACTGTCCCTTCAGGTGATAGCTATCCTGTTGCTGTGACTTGCTTCTTGCCATGCTAGTCCATGGGTATTTAAGCAAAAATATTTTCTGAAGTGAGTAACTCTGTAGGTAATGGCTGTAAACCAATGCCCTAACTTTTAAGAGTTCCAAATGCAGTAACTAGTTCCTTTCTATCCTGAATGTGACTGCCTTGTGGTTATGCTGTAAAAGTAAGTTCTGTGAAGGTGTCTGTTTGTAATAGCATTCTATTCTATGTTCTGATCTGAATAATGCAATGGTACAGGGACAGATATAAAAGTGGGCTTACTTCAAGTTATGATGGTAACTTCAGGAAGTGAAGTGCCTGGAGGAAGTCTTCCTTGGTTAACTAGCTCCAGCAAAAAAAAAAACACCTACTTCAGCCTTTCCAGCTGCCAAGGCTGTGCTAGCAGATGCTTACTGTTAATATTGTTTTTCCAAAGCTGAATTGTTGCAAATTATCTATAAAAGGAAAAAGCTAGCTTGAGCTACTGCGTCTCCTGTAGCATGGGGCCCCGGGCAGTTGCCCTGATTATTACTGCCTAATGTTGGCTCTGGTATTTATATGCAGAAAAACAGTTGTGGGATAGGTGGAGTGTGGAGTTCTTATAGCATGTAGGGAAAAGGGGACTCAAAGGAAAGGCTGAGAACCCCTAGTATAGAACACAGAAGGCTACTGAATCCTGCAAAGTACCTTTTCGTCTGACTTAAATGGTTGAACGGGTGCCATACTACAGGGTAGTTTCACCAGGGCACCTACACTTTCTTGGGGGTGAGAAGAGAAGAATCAGGGGCAATAAAACCTTCACCCCTGTCCTGCTTGACAAGCCTTAGCCTAGTGTTAAAGTATAAGGAAAGGATTGTAGGATCTACAACCCTTCTCCAGAGCAGTACAGTAAATTAATTGAAGCAAGTACAGTTTTTACATTGTACAAATGGGCTATCAGGAACTCTCCCACTTCCTTTCTGTGCCCTTTCAAGGAGGCTTTAGTGGTGGTTATTCACTGCAAACACCCTAAGTGTGCCATTGTATTTAGGTTATGTCTACACCCAGCCGCTAATTCGGCAGCTGGCAATCAAAGTTCTGGGTTCGACTTATCGCATCTTGTCTGGACACGATAAGTCAAACCAGGAAGTGCTCGCTGTCGACTGCAGTACTCCAGCTAGACAAGAGGAGTACCACAGAGTTGACAGGGGAGCCTGCCTGCTGCGTGTGGGACCGCGGTAAGTTCAAACTAAGGTACTTTGAACTTCAGCTACATTATTCACATAGCTGAAGTTGCGTACCTTAGTTCCATTTGGGGGTTTAGTGTAGACCAAGCCTTATACATGGAGATGGGTATAAGAATATTTACTACTGTTGTATGTAATTCAGCTATAGACTATGAATATTGAAGAGCCTAATAAACAAACTAGTAAAGTTTCACAAATTGCATACAGCATCCTACTAGTCCTTATCTTAACCAGGAAGAGAGGCTACTGTAATGTCCTTCCATGTCATAGGTCTTTATGGTGAGGGGAACTTGTATAACTCTAGCAAATTACTAGGGAAAGTGGTTATCCTAAATGACTCATCTAGAGGGCTGTCACTGAGGGATTCTACTACCTTCACCACAACCAGGAGCTTGCTTTTAGGTACAAAAGAAAGGCTAAAGCTTCCACCAGCATTCATTATCTATCTCCTGCTTAACATATCTAAACTCAATGCTGAGTGCTCCTTGGTTATAAAATTATAGCCAACAGATGCAATACCACTGGTCATTCTTTAACCAGATTAAGTTGGTTTTGCATTAGGTAAATTCCAGGGTGCTTTTGTTTCTAGAAAGGGAGTAGTAGCAGGTACAATAGACAAGGTGAGTGCTATATTTCTACATTGCAAATGGATGATGAAACAGACAAGCAGTTATACTCTTGTAGGAGGAAAACTCCCATGAACTTATTGCATTAGAGGACAGACAAGTATTCTGCTAACTAAAACCACTTTTTTTACACTAAACTACATAACCTAGTGATTTTCTTCTGACATTTAATCTTAGTAGCAAGTTGTAGATCTCCCTGATGTAACATGAAACTACTCATGCTTTACATCTGAAAGGAAAATGGACTTTCAGGAGACTCTCTCCTGTAATGTCAAGCAACAGAATTTAGTTAAATGGAGAAACATTACAGAAATATCCCTGTAATCCAAAATTATCCATTCAATGCCCCCTAACAACCCTAGACATAAAGCCCATTCTGTTACTACCCAAGCAGAACTTAAGTGATGACTAAAGAGCACCAACATAAACTCTTAAGTAGACAACAGAAAGTGAAATGTGGGTCAGTGGCCCTACCACGTAGCATAATTAAATATTTAACAAGTTGATAGTATTGGGTAACATTCCTCCTATCTGGCTGTAGCTCAGTGATACAGAAGGCTGAGGGATTAGCTATTAACCAGAGCTGCAAGGCATAAAGCCTTCAATCTTTAAACACCTTTGGTGAAGACTAGTAGAATCAGGGCTTCCTACTCTGAAAGGAGGGCTTATGAGTTCCCCAGTGGTAAAGAATCAAACATGCCTATATCCTTGAAGTAATCTTCCCCCTCCACAAGGTCTGGTCTTCAGCACTCAAAGCTG